GACCCTATTCTAAGGACTTTATTGATATATTCACAACTTGTGAAATAGATATTGACACATCCTTTCTACAAATGAGGAAACTGAGGCACAGTATGAAAATGAAAAACTCAGAGAAAGAATAATTGATTAGCACTTTGCTTCCTTCGCCCAACCTATGAGAAGGTTTGCTCACAGACTCCAAGTCCTCATGAGAGGATGAACTGCTGAGCATGGAGCCAAGTGAAACGAGAGTCGGGGATTGTGTTCCACCCTTTTCGCTCTCAAGGTTCTCACGATCACATCGACCTCTTCACATCCTCGTCTTCAGTCTTCGTCCTGACGTTGCCTTTTCCACTCTCCATCTGGGCCTAAGGCAAAGTTTCTGTTTAACACCCCTTTCTAATGGCCCGTGAATGCCAACATTTTTATATCTGTGCAGTCTTCTCTTTTGTCTCCAATACTTACAATGTTGATTTCATAAAGGTCTTATCATTACCCCCTTGCTTCCTAGAAATCAATGTAATGCCATCCAAGCAAAATGTCATGAACTTGTCATTTGACTTAACTGTGACTCTAGAGCTCCAAAGATTGAGAAATTTTGCTACTGAAAGCATTTTCATTTAACAGATCCATAAAGGGGACAGCAATATCCATAGCTGGATATAAAACGGGCAGTTTTCAGGTTGTTGGATGTGGCTTCAGGTTGCCAAATGATGACTGATATATTCAAGGTCTTTTGCCATGAGAGAGGAAGCGTATCTCAGAAGGACTGAGTGATTATTCCAAACTGTATCGCACGAAAAAAGTGCCTCTTGGGGAAAGTCTGGAGAGGGGCTGGCTTCTGAGGTTGACAGTGAGCAGCAGCGATTGAGTCCCAATGTTGTATAAAATTCATCCACCAAATGTTTGCATTCCTTCTCTATGGGAGGCACTGTTCAAGACATGCAGATGTAGCTGGGAGCAAAGCAAATGAAAAACCCTGACTTCATGAGCTTGCATGAAGGTCAAATTTCAGAGCTATATTCAAGAAGACAGAGAAGGTAATGAAAAGTTAATAATGTAATGTATTTTCCATGATATGAACACAAATAAAAAATTAAGAAAGATGGGGGATGGAAAATTTGGTGGGGGACATGGAGTTTATGTAACCTAACTAGAAAAGTCTCCCCTGAAAAGATGCATTTTGTGGACTGAATATTTGTGTCCACCCCAAATTAATAGGTTGAAACTGAATTCCTGATATGATGTTGGCCTTTGTATTGCAGACAAGTAACAGGAATTGGTGTAAACAGAAGAAAGAGAACAAGAATAAAATTTTCTGATTACCCCAGCGAGGCCCATAGGGAGAATCAACCTCTGTGCCCCACTCCCACACTTCTTCCATGAACCCTCATTTCCTCCCGCCAGTGGAGGATGACACCCCATTCCATGGGCAGAGGAGATGGGGGCTGAGGGAAGAAGCGTGGAGGTTGGAGCACAGAATCTACTTGTGTATCACGGGAAGCCATGGATGGTACCTGTTTAAAGATTAAGCTCTCATTATTTTTTCTTTCATTAATTCACTACTGTGCCACTGACCATGATTGGAGCATCGGCCATGGAGTGTCTTATTTTGTAATCAGTAGAGTCAAGCCCATTCATCTACCAGTTGATATTTAATATTTGAAGTGCATGCAATTATTATTATGCTAGGAAAAAAAAGAAAATGTGTGCCTAATTGTATTTTTATATTTAAAAATTGTTACTTCTTTTTTAGTTCGACTACTAAAGCTGAAAATTATTGAACTCCTCACTGTGGTATCACCTCTTAATATAACACATAAAAGAACATTCCCAAGGAAGACATACCCTGAACTCAATGATAAATAGTAAAAAGCAGTTATGAGAATCACTGCTATTTTATTGGGGAAAGGTAGAATACTGCTATTTAAAAAACAAAACAAAACAAAACAAAAAACCTTACAATTAAATTTTCCAAACTGACTAGAAATTACTCTCAGGGTTCAATTATGGGGAAAGGTAAATAAGAAAAGGAAGAAATACATTAGACAATGAAAGAAAAAAAATGGGATTTCAACCAACAGTATTGATTTTACATTTTGGAGGAAATATGAGTAATGTAAAAGTACTTTTTGTTTTGGTGATAAACTGCCACATTAAAGCAGCTACATAAAGAGACAGAAGATATTACTCTCAAGATACACCTTCACTACACACTGATCTTGAAGCCTATTAAGAATATCTCATCATCCACAAGCAAGCTACCACCTTGGAAGTTCCTGGATATCGTTTTTCTTTCTACAGAGAGATCTCATCTTAGGAAACAAAAATAAATTAATTAAAAATGAAGGCAGGGCATCGTGGCTCACTCCTGTAATCTCAGTATTTTGGAAGACCAAGGCGGGCGGATCATGAGGTCAGGAGATTGAGGCCATCTTGGCCAACATAGTGAAACCCCGTCTCTACTAAAAATACAAAAAATTAGCTGGACTGGTGGCACGTGCCTGTAGTCCCAGCTACTCCAAGGACTAAAGCAGGAGAACTGCTTCAACCTGGGAGGCTGAAGTTGCAGTGAGCCAAGACTTGTATCACTACACTCCAGCCTGGGTGACAGAGAGAGATTCTGTCTCATAACAAAAAAAGAAAGAAAAAGAAACCTCACAGGTAACATAAAATCTGGGCTGCTTGCATTAAAGTTATTCAAAGGCAAGATTTGTTGCTGTGTTGGTTGTTGGTTTTTTTGTTTGTTTTAGCAGCTTGAAGCAACAAGCATGCATTTTCTCACAGTTTCTGTGGGTCAGTCATCAGGTGCAGGTGACTTACTTGTGTGCGTCGGGCTGTAGAGCCCTCATGAGGTTGCAGTCAGGCTGGTGTGGCTGGGGATCCAGGTTTAGCTGAAAGCTCTACTCAGGGAGATCCAGTTCCAAATGCTCTCCGTAGCTTCAGGGATTCCATTTCTCATGGGCTGTTGAAACAAGGACCTAAGTTCCTCATCGACTGGAGCCTGGAGGCATCCTTCGGTTTTGAGTTCCTGAACCACTCTGCAGGGCAGCTCACAACATGGCAGCTGGCTTCTCTCAGAATGAGCCAGTGAGAGAAAGGGCGAGTGAGAGAGGGAGCACACAACGTGGAGCCACAGTCTGTTCTTTGATACATGAAGAAGTCTCATTTGGCTTTTCAAAAGGAATGAATTCATCAACCAGAGAGAGCCTTGAACCCAGTATCACTGTTACGCTCAGGAACTAATGATAATCACTCTTAACCATCCAAGCTCACTTTATTCTATAAAATGTCAGACTCACATCACTGGAGGGATGGGAGCTATTATTAGTGGCAGTTGCTGTCACAGTTCAAGACTTTTAGGTGTTGTTGTACGATGACTCATTAGGCAATTTCATTTCCAGTTCTCTTTCAATGCCTAATGCGACTGTAAGAAAAAGAGTCTCATTTTAATGCTAGTATACTAAAAAAACCTCTCTTATGCTAGACAATCTTTTTAACAAAGAGGTCTTAGTTCAGGAAATTTGGTAGGCAACCAAATATAAGTAGGATTTAATATTTTTTTTAGGGAATTTAATAATTTGAGGTGAGGTTTGCTTTTTTAAGTGATTCTGATTTTCCATTTCTGGTAGCAACAGAAAATTTCCTTTTAAATGTATTTATTTAAAAGCAGTCAAAAGCATGTATTCTTAAGACTGCTTTTTGCATTGAATATTTATGATATGCTGTATAGTTGCATATCTTTTAATCTCATCATTGTGTATTATTCTTTTATGTAAATATATTACATTTTATTCATTCTATTGTTCATGCCATTTTTTTTTCTGTTTTTTACATGTAGAGCTGTGGACACTCTAGATCATAAACTGCATGTACTTCTACGTTGTATGTGTATCTTAAAGTTGCTGGGTCATAGGATATGCATGTACGCAAGCCTTGATGGCTATTTCCAAAGAGTTTATTCAAGTGATGTACCAACTATAGGGCATGTGTGCAGCAGTTTAAGGAAAATTTGGTGGCCAGCATCTGTCTTTTTCATGTTAGTCATTGTAGTGAGTATATAGAGATACTGTATTGAATTTCCCTGGTGAAGGTTGAGAACATATAATGTGATTAGTAGTTATGTGGACAGTTTTTTTGGTAGGAAACCCCTTCATAACATTTCCTCATTCTTCCACTTAATCGAGAGCAAAGAATCAGGGTTGCTGTTATTCTTGGGGGGAATTAGTGACTGGGAGGGGGTACATGGTAATATCTTATTTCTTGTTTTGAGTATGTGGAATTTGTAAAATGTAAGCTGTGCAACTTGTCGATTTTCTTCTACTTCAAAAACATCTAAAAATTGAAATGAAAATTATTTTTAAGAAAAAATGTTGAGTCCATTTAAGGAATAAAACATTAACAACAGGGCAGGAAGTTCACAATTATGAATAAACCCTTGAGTGGCATGATAAAAAAAACAAAAAACAAAAAACAAAAAACAAAAAACAAAACAAAACAAAAATAAACTATGGTGGGATTACCCAAATCACTGGCATTTGGGGAAAACTGTGTGTGGAGGTGGTAATGACACACAGCCCTCATGAGTTCCCAAGCTCATGCTCAGTCAAGTGATGATACCAAGTCCCACATGTGTTTGTGGACCATCACATGCTGCAACTTGATGGTATCCAGAGATGGGGCCTTTGGGAGAGAATTAGGTTTGGATGAGGTCAAGAGGGTGGGGCCGTGATGAGGAGATTAGTGCCCTTATAAGAAGCAACAGCAGAGAGTTTACTCTCTCTCTTCACCACGTACGAATACAGTGACAAGGTGGCCATCTACAAGGCAAGGAAAGAGCCCTCATCAGGAACAGAATCAGCTAGCACTTTTATCTTGGACTTCCCAGATCCAGAACAATGAGAAATAAATTCCTGTTTTTTGTGCCACCCAGTCTACTGCACATTGTGATATCATCCCAAACTCATCAATACATTGGGTATACTTAATACGGTCATGTCAGGCAAACAGACTCACAGAAGGTAGGAATATGGGGGAAATTTTATTTGGGGAACTGGTGACAGAGAACTGAAATTCAGGAAAGATGATACAACACCGACATTAATACCACTGGAAGCCCTAGCCCTGTAGGGACAATGGGAAAAGGTGGTGCTAGCTGAGCCTGGGAGTTGAAGCCAATGGGAAGGACTTAGAGCTCAGAAGGAGGGAACATCCCCAGAACTGGAATCCAGCTGGAAAGTGTCCAGGTCGGAGTAGGACCATAGAGGTAAGAATTGTCTGATGGGAGATAGAAACTGAGAACACAGAGCCAGTGCCAGCTGTACTATCGAGAGTAGAGAATGGGCTCAGCAATCCCCTGAATTCTCTCTTCCTTCTTACCACCAGTCACCCACTTTTGGCCAAACCTTCCCACGTATTAGTGAGCAGAAGGGACTGAGAAATTTAGACTGCAGGAGTTAAGGCCTGTGGCACAGAAAAATCAGTAAAAGGCCGGTAGCGAATCTGAAAAGTACGTCATCACAACCAAGTGTGTGTGGTCCCTATACCATTTTTATAGAGATAAAAGTCATTATCTGGAGTATCTTAACATTCCTTCATCTACTCTTGTTTATGCCCCAAATGTCACAGAATGAGTATCATGTATATACTCTGCTACATGAAAAGGAATTTATGGCTTTCATCCCTCTGTTTCCTAAACTGCATTAAACACCTCTTGGGTTTCTCAGATGATTCACTTCAGTGCAGAACAAATATGAGCAGAGAGCTGACTCTGGGACATCTTGGCTGAATCACATCCTCTTGGGTGGAAGGCAGAGCTGGGATCCAGGGCACATATGAAGACCGCCTATGAGCATCTCCTAAACCCTCACTAGCCATGTCCATGTTCTCAGGTGAACCCCAGTGTTGACATCACTCCTTGGGCTTCTGCAATCGCCAACTTGCACCAAATGAATGTTCTTCTTCCATTGTGGACTTGAATCTTAAGGACTGAAAAATCAGATGCTTAATATTAAAGACAGCCTAATATTCTTCCATCTCTCTCCCTGTAAGGAGGGGTTGGTTATAAGTTCTCTGACTTTATAGTATTACAGAACCTTCAGTTTCACAGCTTCTACATGTGGTAATTTGGTACATAGTTGCAGAAGAAAATATTAGCCTATGATGAGACCAGAAAGACAGAAGAGAGGAAGCTAGAGTCTTACCTTTATATTTTTACATTGTAAGATCATAAGAACATCTATTATATTCCCTAGAAAAATATGTATAATCATGCATAATTCCACTTTTCTATATTCTTGACTAGACCTGATTTTTTTAGCAGCAGCTCTTGAATAAATGGCAAACCTTACTGAGAAACTCAAATTGCAGCTGCTCACAGGCACACTAAACGGACTGAGAAGTGTCTGACATGTTAAGTAAAATGAGTATGGCCATATCAAATGGTGGAAAAGTAGCAAGCTCTACAGGGTGTGTGACTGGGGTTCAGGTGAACTCTCACCTGTTTTTCTTTAATTTACATATTCCAATTTCCACTCTTTGTGACTTCTAGAAACAGAGTATGTTATCTGAGCCAATGATCTATGTGCATTTTCTCTTCATCTCTCTCCTGAGCCAATTCTGATTTAATTTCCACCCATGGTGATGTGCAGCCATGCCCGTAGGCCAGTTGGGCCCATCACATTTGAATGAATGTGATTAGACAGATGTGAAATGGCTCAATCCCAGATGCTTCCTCTAAGTGCTATTGTGGATGTGGAGAGAAACATTATCGGTTGTACTTTTAATATTCAGTAAATTGTCTCAAAATGGCCCCTAGGCACACGTTTGGTTCAGTAGCTGGCTGGCATTCCAATCTCACAGTAAGTGAAATTCTAACTTCAGTAATAAATTAACTTGGGAACTTTGGACATATCTCCCAATATCTGCGAGATATCAAACCATCTAAATTTACCAATATCCGCACACAAGTCTAGAACAATTACAATATACAGACCTAGAAATTTGGGACATCTGGTTTACCAGTTGCTCCCCCCTCTAGCTCAGCTTTCGAAGATGCTCCCGTTTACAATTAACAGACATGGTTATTTCACGCAGATGGAAGGTCTTGCTGTTGGAGTTAAACACATTTGACTCAATCAACAGAGTTATTGTTCTGGGACCAAAATGTCTCTGACTCATAACCTTGCTTTTGCTCTTCATATCAAATGAGTGTGATATTAATTTCTAGCCCTGCAGTGGCAGAATCCTCCCAGCAATATAAGAAGATAGAAGAAATAAGAACGTCAGTTGAGGACTCCCCTGACATACCTTTTCCTTTTACTGGTCACACCACAGTAGCAGAACAAATATTACAGGCTTGAGTAAAGTTCTATAACTAATGCAATAAATGACAAGAATCTCCAGTCCTCAGTAATTCTCATTTAGGATGTGTTTCTTCTCTAATACGTTTCCCTTTAAATGTTTTGTGTCGTGAATTCACTACAGCAAAAACCTTTAAGAATCTGAAATTCATTGGCGCTATCCTGCATTTACAGCCCAGAAATTGCTGGCTCTAGCAGTCTCTGCTCTCTCAGTTTAATCTGAACATAAATACAGGTATTTGCTGCAACAGTTGCTAAAGGAAAGCTATAACAGTGTCAAAACAAACTTGGAGAATCTGCCTGAAAATAGTGTTCATTTCCCTTTTCTTTCAGCATTCTTTTTTGTTAGCACAAGTCAGAGGAGTGTACCAGTAGAGTTACTACCTTTTTTCTTTCCATGAGGTGGAAAGCCACTACCACCTACCGAATTTTTTTCTAAAAGCAAAACCTAAACAGAAAAGGTCTTTGCTCCTAGCAAATAATCAAAACGCAGCGAATGGATTGTTTCAACATGACTGCTTTGAGGGAGTCAGCTCATTGGTTGGCAGTGAAAACTGACTCCTGAAATAAAAAGAAAAATTCAAATGTGATAACCAGTCCTCAGATTGTATCGCTTTTAACTCATAAGCCTGAAGGAGAGCTAATTATCTTGCACTTCTTATCGCCTTGGTGAAGCATTTCAGGTGGGAAGAAACTGAGCCCACTGAAGCCTGCTTTCTGAGAAAGAAACAAAAGACCGTAAATGGAGCTAACAAGAAATAAAGACATATGGTTGTTGCTTCTCCCTTCCCTACCTTATCTTCCCCTCCGCCCCCATCTCTTCCCTATTTTTTTCTCTTTTCTTGTCTTTTCAAACTTTACATTCAATTCTATCTCTTTACAAGCTTCCATTAGCTTAAGGTCAGATAGAAGTTTGCATGCAAACATAGTAAAATAGGCTTCTGCACAGCAAACAACTACCAAAAGGTCATGCTTTTTATTTTCACAGACGTAAAAGCCACCATCGACATTTGCAATGAGGGCAGTGAGACATAACAGGAACAACTGCTACAATAAACCGAATAATAGCAAAGATTGTGCCTAGTTTGTACATTGCTATATCCCATTACAAGACAGTGACGGGTATAGACCATGGGATTGTTAAGCAATTTTTGAATGGATGAATGAATTAAATGTAATTTTGAACACGTTTCCCCCTCTTCCCTTGGTAATATATATCGGTGCTGCATTTCCTCTTGACACCTCAGTCCCACCATTTTTTCTAAGGCTGGGAGGTACATTTCCCTGATGCATTTGCCTCTGAGCAGACTGGTTACAGTTTGGTTTAAGGGGAACTCACGAGTGATTTGGTAGGCAGAAAGAAGCAGAAATCATCGACCCCTGGACCCCATTCTTACCAAGGGGAGTGTTGGCTTCACTGTCCTCTCCAGGAGCCTCCACTTGTACTCTGGCAGCTTATGGAGCTTCTTCGTGAGGTCCTGCTTCTTCAGTGCTGCAGGAAGAGATCTGAAAATCAGCACCTTTGTTTGGAATCCTCCACTGTAGCCTTCAAAATATCTCTCCCACAGCTCAACCCATATTTGTGTAAGCTCTAATTCCAATATTCCTGTAAAATTTGTATTGACTCTCTTTCCCTGACCAAATCCAAATTAATGCTGAGAGAGAGAGAGAGAGAGAGAGAGAGAGAGTGTGTGCGTGTGTGTGTGTGTGTGTGTGTGTGTGTGTGTGTTTGCTGCATAGCTTTTATTTTATCAGAGTCCCTTCCGTAAGAATTCTAATCCATAAAACACTTCCCTGGCTTCTGCTCCCTGGAATTAAGTCTTGAGCCGTTTCTAGAAGATAATTGGAATTTGTATTGATTAGGGAGAAGAAAAGCATGCCGGTTGTATATGCCACAGGATAATCATTGGTGATAACCATGAATCATAACTAATGTACTGCTCTAAATGTATTTGCTCTAAATGTGTTTAACTACTCAGCAAACATGTCCATGTTCTTTAGGGGTAGGGACATAAGGATCCTTGGTGTTCATTTACTATGATATCTGGAGGTGGCCAGGCACAGTGGCTCAGACCTGTAATCCCAGCACTTTGGGAAGCCGAAGTGGGTGAATCATCTGAGGTAAGGAGTTCAAGACCAGCATGGGCAACATGATGAAATTCCGCCTCTACTAAAAATACAAAAATTATCTGGGCATGGTGGTGCACACCTGTAGTCCCAGCTGCTCAGGAAGCTAAAGTGGGGGGATCACCGGAGCTGGAAAGCAGAGGTTGCATTGAGCTAAGATCATGCCACTGCACTACAGCCTGGGGGACAGAGTAAGATCTTGTCTCAAAATAATAATAATAATAATAATAATAATAAATAGAGTGATATCTGAAGGTGAACTTCGCATTGGTCCAGAAACTCAAATATGGCACCAGGGTTCCAGGCTCTTTCAGTCCTCCTGTCCGCTAACATCTGCATAGTGGTTTACTTAGAAGGTATGTACCTCATGGTAACATGATGGCTGCCACAGCACCAGACATCAGCTCTTCACATTGCAGGCTCTAAATGTGGTGAAAGAAGAGGCTTCATTCATTGTATTTGATTTTATCATGGAAAAAAACAATCTTCCAAGAATTTCCAGAGGGTCTCTCTTTGTTTCTCAGTGGCTAGAACTGGGACTCATGCCCCATCCCTAGACCAAACCTTGGCCCAGGGGAATAAAATCACATCAGTATTTTAGACTAATATTTAATAACATTAGTTTTTAGCTCCCCTCGGGCTAGGGCTGCCCATCTGCATGTGCATCTGGTAATATCAGAAACTAAGTGACGGATGTGTATTTCTGAAGCTTCACATGGCAAGCCAGATGGTTTTCTGGGTGATGTAACTGAAACTTAAATAACATGTAGGAGCACAGTAATGAAGTGCTTCCTTGCAGATACACAGTGGGCTTTTCTGATTAACTTGAGTAGGAAGTCTCAGTTTGTGGTTGCTTCTGTGTCTGTACCATCAAACTGACACTTACCTAACCTTCCTTTTTCCCAAAAGGAAGCAGGACTCAGCCTCAAACCCATAAGCAGGCGAGAGAATCTAAGCAAAATGTTTTGCCTGTGGTACATTTATTCTATAATTGTCTTCTACTTACAGCAAGTGATCACGGTTTTCCATTTGTAGTACAGCTGTCATTCCCTTTTAAAATACATGTATCAGAGTTAAACAGGCATGCTTAAAGATAATTTTAAGTAAATAACACAAATATCATTATGTGTTATACTGTGGTAAATATTGCATTCTGGCAAATATGACAAAAGTCATGAGCATTGCATAAAATGCTTAAAATTAGTCAATTTTATCTTTAGGAAGTGTGAGAAAGAAAGTGTGGGAACAACAGGAGCTTCCAGAATTTTCTAAAGCCTACATGAGAAATCTGAACGCTGCATCTAGGTTAATTTCTCGGGAAAAATAATGCATGGAAGTCTAAGCTCTTTGCATGGAATTTCTTCTCTGTGACACCACCCTGTTAGGCTGAAGAAAATCTGTAAGAAAATCCCCAGTTGTAATAAATGTGCTTGTTAAAAGATATGAATTATTTCATCTTTCTTTAGATGCCATGTTGGCATTCCTCACTGACATTCTAACTGGTGGTTGTTGCCACAGTTACTTTTGTTTCTGAAAATAAGCTGAGGTATTCAAGGTCATGATTAACAATGTACTGATTCCTTGATTTCAATGTGGTACTAAAATGACAGAGGAATCCACAATCGTGTGTGTGTGTGCACGGACGTGTGTTTGTGACTAAGACTCCATTGTACTAATTTATGCTAGGTAGCAGCAATACCCTCTAAAACTCTCTGTTTGAGCCTAAATAGTTCATGTGCTCGGTATTATTAAAAACGTCGACCTGTTCACTGTATTATAGCTGTGTTTGCCAAAATGTGGATCTCCCCCATGGGGGTATGTGCAGTGTGATTTCAGGTGGTCCCAGACAAAACGTTGGAACACGGAATCACGGACTAATACGGTTTGGCTCTGTTCCCCACCCAAATCTCATCATAAATTGTATTCCCATGATTCCTACATGTTGTGGGAGGGGCCCAGTGGGAGATAATTTGAATCATAGGGAGCAGTTTCCCCCATACTCTTCTCGTTAGTGAATAAGTCTCACAAGATCTGATGGGTTTCTCTGGGGTTTCCACTTTCGCATCTTCCTCGGTTTCTCTTGTCACCACCGTATAAGAAATGCCTTCTACCTTCTGCCATGATTCTGAGGCCT